TGCACCAGTAGCAATAACAGCAGCAGTGGCAGTCGCTACTTCCTGTTAGTACGTATTATGCATCCATTGTTATGTTTTTTGTTCATGGCTCAGTATGTGCTGCTTCTCATTTTTCCCCACCCTCGGTGTGAGGTTGTTAGATTTCACACTCAACTCTACTCTTAGGGTTTAGGGTTTAGGGTTTAGGGTTTAGGGTTTAGGGTTTAGGGTTTAGGGTTTAGGGTTTAGGGTTTAGGGTTTAGGGTTTAGGTATCCCACCCCAGTGTGTTCTTGGAGCACCCAACTTCAGAGTATCCCGGAGAATCCCAGGAGTGCGAACCCCCAATTTTTGCCCAGAGAATCTTCGCAGAGTGTCCCTGCAGTGCCCAACCTCAGCGTGAGCTTGCAAACTCCTTGCCTGCAAGGTGGGGATGTTCAAGAGTAAACTAATGTATCATTTGTCAAGTATTGCTTCTTCTTCTTCTTCGCCTCAGTGTGCTGTTGCTAACTTTTAAGTACCCTAAACCCTAAACCCTAAACCCCAAACCCCAAACCCTAAACCCCACCCCCTAAACCCGAATCCCTATGTCCCGATCTTCGGAGTGAGAACCGCGCAGGGAGTCGCTTGTCCCTTGAGTGCCTACCCCCCGAGAGGGCCACAACGAGTCCCGTCACCCTGAACCCTAAACCCAAAAACCCTGAAACCTTAAAGGGTTTAGGGTTTAGGGTTTAGGGTTTAGGGTTAAACCCTGAACCCTGAAACCCTAACCCCTAAACCCTGCATCCTTGGAGCAGCCCCCCCCCCCCCCCCCCCCCCAGAGAAGCCCGCAGAGACGCGCATCCGTGGAGTGACCACCAAGCAGATTGCTGGTAGCTGTGGGATGGGAATGATATCGAGTGAAAGCCCTAAGCCCTAAACCCTAAACCCTAAGCCCTAAACCCTAAACCCTAAGCCCTAAGCCCTAAGCCCTAAACCCTAGACCCTAGATTGTAAATCTGGTTGCCGTTCTGGCTGTTTCTATTGTTATTGTTGCTGTTGTGGTCATTCTTGATCGTGGCGGCTGTGATCATTGCTATTCTTGTTATTATTGCGATTCTTGTTTGTTGTTGTCATTTATGAATGTTAGTGCGGTTGTTGTCATGATCTTCTATTATTGTTATTATCGCTATTCTTATTGTGCAGATTGCTCTTGTAGGGTTTAGGGTTTAGGGTTCAGGGTTTAGGGTTTAGGGTTTCTCTTTTTGGGCCGTGTTTTTTTGGGTCGGGTGTCGTGTGCAGCTGCATGTGCTCTGAGGCCGGGTTCCAGGTCGAAGTTCTCCACCAAGGAAGGCGGTCCTCCTCTCGGGTTTAGGGTTTAGTGTTTAGGGTTTAGGGTTTTTAGGGTTTAGGGTTTAGGGTTTTAGGGTTTTAGGGTTTTAGGGTTTTAGGGTTTTAGGGTTTTAGGGTTTTAGGGTTTTGGGGTTTTGGGGTTTTGGGGTTTTAGGGGTTTTAGGGGTTTTGGGGGTTTTGGGGTTTTAGGGGTTCTAGGGTTTCTAGGGTTTTAGGGGTTTAGGGTTTTAGGGTTTTAGGGTTTTAGGGTTTTAGGGTTTTAGGGTGTGGCTTTGCCGATAAGTCGAGACCCCGGCGCAGGTGGGTGGAGACAACTGTGGCCGAAAGGGATCCGGAGCAGCAGGCCTTCTTCCGGGCTTCCCATGCATAGTGTAGGGAAGTGGGCTCGGGAACCTAAGGCCCGAAACAACCCCAAACCCCCAACACCCCCTAAAGCCTTTGCTGCTAAGACTATATAAGAAGATAAAAGCATATATATATATATAAGACGAGTATTGTGGGAGTATTTATCAATCTTTCAGAATACCTTCTTGGAGGTCCCGGTAAGGGGATTCTATTCTAGTGGGGGTATAAAAGACCCTAAACCCTAAACCCTAAACCCTAAACCCTAAACCCTAAACCCTAAACCCTAAACCCTAAACCCTAAACCCTAAACCCTAAACCCTAAACAAACCCTAAACCCTAAACCCTAAACCCTAAACCCTAAACCCAGTAGCCATATAGAAGAATGCCAGGACACGTCGATGGTCAAGGTCACCTGGCCCGATGGCTCCTTCTCCGAGTATGGAGCCGATCAGGCCGCCGCCTCTTTGAGCGGCTTAGGGTTTGGGGTGAGGGTGTTTTTTGTTTATGATTATTATTTTTTTTGGGGTGTCGGGGAAGGGGGGGGAGGGTGGAGGGCGAGGGGGAGGCCTACTCTTCCTCTTCCCCCCCCACCTTTAGGGTTTAGGGTTTCGGGTTTGGGGTTTTGGCTTTGTAATGTCGCCGGGGTCGAGCCAAAGCACAAGGTAGTGTCAAAAGGGTCCTAGATTCCGCTCCCCCCCCCAAACCGAAACGAGGGCTTAAACTTACTTGGCCAAGAATTGAACTTTCGATTTTTTTGGGTTTCCTTTGGTTAACCTTTTTCCTGTTGATCCTTGGAGAAGCAAAGATAGCACACATTCCAGTCGAGGTCAGGTTCATTCCAGTGGACGAAGTGCTGGTGATCTACGCCGCCGATCCGTGGAGGTCCGGCCTCGTTATTTGCTTTTAGGGTTTAGGGTTAAGGGTTTAGGGAATAGGGTTTAGGGTTTAGGGCCACCCTAAACCCCCAAACCCTATACCCTGAACTAACCCTAAACCCTAAACCCCAAACCCTAAACCCTGGAGCCCTGAGTTAACTCTAGATAGGTCTTTGTATCACACCAAGGGCCAAGTGCGGGCTTGCTGGGGTTCATCGGGTTTCGGGTTTGTAGGGCTCACTGCTTGAGGGTTTTTGTTAAAGGTGGCTCCTAAATACCCCAAGCCCTAGACCTCAAGAGTTTAGGGTTTAGGGTTCGGGGTTTGGGGTTTGGGGTTTGGGGTTTAGGGTTTGGGGCTTATAACTTGGGGCTTAGGGTTTTGGGCAGAGGAGACAGTGCGCCGCCGTCCACTTCTTGGCGAGAGCGGGTAATGCGGCGAGCTTGCTGGCCCAGCTTCTCTTTTCACTTCCATGGACCCATGGGTTTAGGGTTTAGGGTTTAGGGTTTGGACAGAGGGCCCCCAAATCCCCAAGATTTAAGGAACGGTCACTTCTCCATATTCTGGCCCCTTTTGGGGTTGCTATTACATAGGCGGCGCCGAATATTTAGGGTACCCTTAAACAGGGGCCCTAAGTTCGAGAAGTGGCCAGATACACTTTCTCGACATCCTTTCACTTGAGGGACGTCTGCCCTAAACAACACAGGAACATGTTGGCATGTGCTTCATGATGCGGATGTTGGGTCCATGTAGGTCTCTTCTTAAACCCCTATAAACCCTAAAAAACCCTAAACAGCCCTAAAAACCCTTCAAAAACACTATAAACCCTAAAAACCCTAAAAACCCTAAAAACCCTAAAAACCCTTCAAAAACCCTTCAAACAACTTCAAAAACCTAAAAAACCCCAAAAAACCTCAAGACGAGGTGATGGCGGAACGAAAGCCCTGCGGGACCTGGGGAGTTGCAGCCATTGGGGGGGGGGGGGGGGGGGGGGGTGGGTTGAAGATATTCTATTCTAGGGTTTCGGGTTTAGGGCTTAGGGCACAGGTTTCAGGGATTATGGTTATTCTACTCTACTGCTCGTACATGGATATGGATTGTACTTAATTCATGAACATGTATAGCCTGATGTGATGCGTACTATCTCTCTCTCTATATATATATATATTGTACTACATAACTGCAAGTAGTTCTGAGGCTTGATGGCAGATGTTCGGACAGGCCGTGTAGAACTTTCTCTCTGCGAAGGACATCTCCAGGCTGAAGATTGTGAACCAGGAGCGTGTCCACCTCAGTTGCAGGGTTTATCTCAGTACTTTGGCGTGCATCAGCGTTGCCGTCATGTCAGGTTGGCGGACCGAACTCCTGGAACAGGCCAAGGGGAGCGCGGACCTCCTCCAGAAGGCACGCGGGGGTGGAAGGGGGTGTGGGGTGGGGACTTGATCCTCGACATATGCGGGCGGTTTTGGGGGGGTCCTATGAGAGTTTTAGGGTACCGAATCTAGATTCAGTCCCATGCTAAAGCATATCGGCTTGTCTACGTACCCTTGGCCCCATGTCATTCTTGGCCAGGTCACCAGGCGAATTGCCCGAGCGTCCCAGTGTGGCGTTGAGGCCACGCGTCAGAAGTTTCAGGTCTGCTGTTGAAGCCACGAAACTTAACCCTTAAACCACTCCTATTAGTTCTTTTGGTGAATAAAACCTGGAACCCCATCCCGAAACCTTTAGCCCTGCCCCACTATTTTTGTAGTTTTTTGGGCATCTTTATCGTCGACGGGGCTTTGAGGTTAGCTGCTTTTGGTCTTTGCCTTGCCGAGGCGGTCCATGACTGCGTGGTGCTGTTGGCGGCTCATTTGGGGGGCCTATTTTAGGGTTTAGGGTTTAGGGTTTTTTTAGGGTTTAGGGCTATTTTAGGGGTCCCTTATGTTCGGAAACCCCCATGTATGACCTCTTCCATAAAGATGCTCTGGAGCTACTCGGTCTGGGTATGTAAGTCCAGGCAGGGGCATCACTTAAGATTACGTCCTCAGTCTCAGTGATAGTCAGTTACTGTGAGGTTCATGCTACGTGTTAACCAATTCTAACTGTACCTATAACCCACTTATAAGCCCCTCTAAGTGCCCTGCCCTTTTTGAGTATAATTGGGTTATAAGTACAGTGATAATTGGGTTAATAAGTACCCTGAACCTCCAAGTAAGCACCTTCAAGAGCCCTAGGCACGGAGACCAGGAGGCGCGCAGCAGCGCCAAGTTTCGAGCTCGGATTGCCTGGTTGCTTCATGAAGTTGAAGGGTGGGGTGGGGGGGGGGGGGGGGTTGGCTTGTTTATTCCATGTTCTCAACTTAACACGGGCGTAGCCTCGGCTTAGTGGAGGATGTCTGGCGGATTGTGACAGGACAAGCAATGGCTAAGCTATGGACAGGAAAGGGATGCCATGACGGGCAGCTGTGCCCAGTCAAGTGGAGTTTAGGGGTGTTGCCTAGGCTTCTGCTGGAGTGGGCGATTCGACAACGTGGGGATCCCCTGGCTGAGGCTGCGTTTCTGAGGGTTAAGGGTCCTTTTTTTTTTCCGCTCTCTCTCTCTCTCTCTCTCTCTCTCTCTCTCTCTCTCCTCTCTCTCTCTCTCGCTCTCTTCGAACTAGTGGTCCGGATGCATTCCTGACAGTGAGGCCTTGCAGCCCCGGAGCCTACACCTACACCAAAACCCCCTGAAAAGCATCGCTCCATGCAAGTTGGTCAAGCCCACGGACGACATCGGTATGTTGGAAGTCACCGAGGCGGAAATCAAGGCGGGAGAGGTCTCTAACCGTTTGCGTTCTCGCTGAGCCTCCCTGCGCAGCGCCCCTTAATTTACTCTGAACCCAGAAACCCTAAACCACTAAACCCTAAACCCTGAATTCTGAACCCTAAATCCTAAAGCCCTAAACCCTAAAACCCTAAACCCTGAACTCCGAAACCTCAGGCCCTGACAGCCGACATCGTCGAGGAAGTCGAAAAGGAGGCAGTGCTGCCTCCTCGAAAATCCTGGCGCGTCCGGTCTCGTTGAGTTGAAGGTCTGGAGTTGGTCTGGGGTTTAGGGTTCAGGGTTTAGGGTTTGGGGTTTAGGGTTTGGGGTTTAGGGCTTGGGGTTTAGGGTTTGGGGTTTAGGGTTTGGGGTTTAGGGTTTAGGGTTTGGGGTTTAGGGTTTAGGGGCTGCGTTGAACCTTCAACCCGTGATTTGGTTGTCGTGCTCCTGTGAGGCGAAGGTCTACGTCTTCGTCAGAGATGACGTAAGCCAGTGAGGGCCCCTGTGTGCAGTGTCTGGTCGCATCTGTGGCCGTCCCCCCAAGTCCTCCCCCTCCAAACCACCCAACCCTCCCGCCCCCCACCCGAGTGTAAGATCCATGCCGTGAGCTTCCTGGGGGTCCCTCCTCTACTACGTGTCCTCGAGATTGTATGGCTGTAGAATTAGGTTCCCTTGTTGGCTCTCAATTGAGCCTGTCCCAAACAAAGGGACCCGAATCTATTAAAGAGAACTGGTCCCGCCCTGCATCCTACGGCTGTTCTTTAGCACAGCTTAGATCAGTCGGGCATTCATATGTAGCGACGTGGGCCTGCTCACCAAAGTCAGAGGGCACTTACGACGAAGTCAGAAGTGACTTCAATGAACTATGGGTGTCCCTAAACCCTAAACCCTAAACCCTAAACCCTAAACACTAAACCCTAAACCCTAAACCCTAAACCCTAAACCCTAGAATGGAAGTCTGCTTCTCTGCCGCCTTCCGAGGCAGCAGTACAAGTACGGCGAGAAGAATCTGGGCCGCACAACTACGACCCAGAGTAGGGGGTTTAGGGTTTAGGGTTTAGGGTTTAGGGGTTTAGGGTTTAGGGTTTAGGGTTTAGGGTCCCATATGAGTCCCTAGACCTAGACAGCTTTCAGGGTTTTGGGGTTGGCGTCATCCTGAACCCTAAATCAGACCTATGCCACGTATGCCGTTATCCACCTTCATTTGTGGTCGGTACATGACAACCCCCCCCCCCCCCCGCCCCCCCTCACCCATCTACATTCTAGGCCCTAAACCCTATAAACCCAAGACCCAAAGCCCAAATCCACGACCCAAGGATTGAGTTTCTGTGGGTCCAGAAGGGTCAGCCGGAAGAAAGTGGCAAATGGAGCGATGGCTTGCGCGGCCTGCATGTTTGTCTCTCCCAGGAATGTGAAGGGTTTAGGGTTTAGATTTAGGGTTTGGGGTTCGGGTTCGGTTTAGGGTAACCCTAAACCCTAAACTAAGCCCTAAACCCTAAACCCTAAACCCGAAACCCTAAACCCTAAACCCTAAACCCTAAACCCTAAACCCTAAACCCTAAACCCTAAACCCTAAACCCTAAACCCTAAACCCTAAACCCTAAACCCTAAACCCTAAACCCTAAACCCTAAACCCTAGACCCTAGACCCTAAACCCTAAACCCTAAACCCTAAACCCTTCACTTAAGGTATATTCCTTAATTAATTTACGGGGCTATGGGGCTCTCTGGGGTCTCCCACACACACACACACCAAGACCTTATTTTACACCCATGTTTCCAAGCATCCAAATCTTCAGCATCCCATTTGCCAGGGAGCACACCAGCAGCCCTCACAAACCAAACCTAGCACCTTTTTCCTCTCAAGAACTCCACAGATATGGCGCCACCTCCTTCAACAAAAGCCAGGTTCGTCCGGAAATGCATCGGTGAGGGCAACGAAGTCAAAGTCCGCCCGTCACCCGGATGTCACTCCCGCGTGTCAGCCTTCGGTCAAGAGCCTGTGGCGAGGCTAGGGTTCCGGGTCTTTGTAGGGCTTTAGGGTTTAGGGTTTAGGGTTTGGGGTTTAGGGTTTAGGGTTTAGGGTTTAGGGTTTAGGGTTTAGGCTTTCTTTTACATGCTTTTACAAATGGGTTTTTTTGTAGGGTTTTGGAGGGTTGTAGGGTTTTTATGTGGTTTTGGGAACTCTGTGCGCCTCTCAAGGATACGAGCACCAGCAGAAGAACTGGGAGGAGGTTGTGCCGCTCAAGCACGTGAGGTGTCGTCCTTGAGCACAGCATCCGAATCACCATTTCTGGTTTTGTAGGGTTCAGGGAAGTTTCGGGTAAACCTTGCATGCTGCACTTTGTGTGGGGATTGCCTTAAATTTCCATTTCGCAGGGATTTTTCATGTTGAGAGGTACCTACAAGTAAGGCCCACCATCTGGTTGCCGGCCCCATGCTATCACGAGGTCTATGGGAATATCATTGTGTCCTTACAGCATGTTCGGTGCAGCCTACCTAACCTTAAACCCTAAACCCTAAACTCTAACCCTAAACCCGAAACCCTAATTTATTTGGAACACATGGAGTCCGGAACCACCGATCTCGGTAGACAGTGGCGGAATCGAGCTCAGTCATTGTAGATCAACCTTCCCGTAGATGTCACAGGCAGCTAAATCTCCTTCTGGATAGTTTCATAAAGTTAAAAAGGATATCATGTATACCACAATGTAATATACTACAAGACATGAAATGCAAGATAATGCAATATCATACGATATCATACAATATATAAAACATGGTACAGTGTAATGCAATAGAATACCATACAATACAATATAATGCAATATAATTCAGTATAATACAACAAGCTTCCGTATAATACAATATAGCACAACATGATACCATAATTTAAGACAATATAGTACAATAACATGCAATATGATATAATATTCTGCAATACAATGTAATGTGCACGAATATGGGCCTTCGTTTGTTGCAAGCTTTCGGGGCGATTGTCCAGCACCGTGCAGGCCCGAGCAGGGCCCGAGTCTGAGATTCAGCAGCAGCGGTGCTCCAGATTAGTGCTTAGGATTTAGGTTTCTGTTAAAGGGTTTTAGGGCTTTTTTTCTTTTTTGGATTTTGGGATTTTCAAGGCTTTTAGTTTATGGGGTTTATGCGGTTTGCGGGGTTTATGGGGTTTATGGGGTTTATGGGGTTTCTGGGGTTTCTGCGGCTTATGGGGTTTATAGGGTTTAGACAGGTGAAGGCGTACATAGGAATGGTACTAATCGTACTGCTACAATTCCGTTCCTTCATCCCCACTAACCAACTTCAATACACCCTGAGCCCTAAGCCCTCAACCCAAAGGCCCTAAACCCCAAACCTTTTCCTTTGCCAAACTTGCCCTTCCTTTGTTTTCCCCCTTAACCCGTTTTTTGGGGGCGCTTGATGCTGTGTGGCTTGCAGGCAAGCGGCTGAAGCCTGCCATTTGCATCTACAGCCGCCTGACCGGTCACGAGCTCAAGATCCGTTTTGTTACCCTTCCGTACGAAGCCCTCTGTACATCTGAGCAGGGTTGACATCGTTTTTTTTAAGGGTGTTTGAAGTGTCTGCAGGGTCGGGATTCTGGTGGGGTTCACAGGGGTTGTATAGGTGCTTTAGGGTTTATAGGATTCTGTTTCTAGTTTTTTTTTTGCAGGGCGTTTAAAAAAAAGGCTTTGTAGTTTTTGTAGACTCAGGGATGTTTAGGGTTGAGGAGTTTATAGGGTCATAGGGTGACAGTGGTTGGGGCTTATAGGGGCTTCAAGAGTTAGAGGGGTTTGGGTTAGTGGTGTTAGTGTTAGGGTCATATGGGGCACAGGTGACCCCTGCAAGACGTTGTTCCTCCCGAGGTAGCGTTCGCAGCGGCCTGCTGCTTGCGCAGCGCACTCTTCAGGCTCTGCCAACCTACCCAGACCCGAAGGATCTAAAAAGTAGAGCCCCGCAAGTAGTACCCTGTACTACTATTGGGTGATGCCTAGGAACCCCGAGGGGGATCTACTTCTTGGATCCTCCCAGGGGTGCAACAAGGCGTTAGTGTTCAGGGTTCAGGGCATTTCTGCATCAGCCTCATGTTGTCCAGGCCCGGCTGAGAGATGCAGTGGGGCGTGCATCAACTGGCTTCGCTCTCAAACCGCACAGGCACAGCATTCACTGCTCAAGAGAGGTTCTCCTTAAGCCCTACTTAGTAGTAGAGTAGGTAACCTTTAACCTTTTTGGGTTACTATATTCCCCTTATAATCCCAAAGGTTAACCTTTAAAACCCCTAGGTACTGGACAACTAAGCCTAAACCGTAAACCCTAAGCCCCAAAACCCTGCTCCACCGAGGTCAGGCATGGTATCGTGACAAGGACGCCCAGCCATGGTTAGCCTGCAGACGTGAACCCTAAACCCTCAACCCTAATCCCTAAACCCTAAACCCTAAACCCTAAACCCTAAACCCTAAACCTAAACCCTAAACCCTAAACCCTAAACCCATGCCTGGTTTCAACCTGGTTTGCACGCAGGGAATGCGCGGTGGCAAAGGCAAAGGCAGCTCCTGCAGCCATGATGACCTTGTTTCCAGAGAGCCCAATACCCCTAAACCCTAAACCCTAAACCCTAAACCCTTAATACCCCTTAATTAAGGAAATATACCTTCAAGTATATAGGAATCCTCAACACTATTTAAGGTATATTCCTGAATTGTGGGTATTGGGCTCTTCTTCGTGTTGATCAGCTAGTCTGCACTTTCATGACCTGGCCTCTGTGCAGGTAAGCCACCAAGACAAGCGCCGCAGCAAAGCAACTGGGGCGACTGGAAGAAGAAGGATGATTGGAATCAAAGAAATGATTGGAGGTCGAGCAACAAGCAAGACTGGAATCAGCGAGATAATTGGCAGAAGAAGGAGTGGAAGCAAGACCAGTGGAACAAAAAGGATGACTGGGAGCAGAAGGGTTCTTGGAACCAGAACGACTCTTGGCATCAACAGTCTAAAATTAGGAGGCCACCTTTTGGCGGTTTGTGGCCTTGTTTGTACACGGGCTTAGATCACCGCCCCACCCCCCACCCCCTCGGCAAACAGGATTCCTGGAAAGCGGATTCCTGGAAAAACGACCAGAAGGAGTGGAAAGACCAGTCGAACTCCAATTGGTCCCACCACGACCCAGGCAGCACGCTGGTGGTCTGTTTTCTGGGTTCAGGGTTTGGGCTTTAGGGTTCAGGGTTTGGGGTTTTAGGGTTTAGGGTTTAGGGCCACTCAGACCTCATGGTCGCACTTACGAACCCTACGCCCGAAGCCCTGGAGGGTCCCTCAAGGCCCTGGAGCCATACCATTACTATCATAACTATTATTGTGTTTTTGATTATTTTCTTATGATGATGATGATTATGATTGTATTTATAACTATTATTATCATAATGATTATTGTGTTTTTGATTATTTTCTTATGGTTGCTGTTATTATTGTATTTATTACTATCATTATTATACCTCAAGGCCCTGGAGCCAGGTACCGACCGAAGGGATGGCTGGAGCCAGAGCACCAGCAGCTCCCAGCCCGTCGTCCACTCGGCAGCCTTCCCCTAGCCTGGGTGGGGGTTTAGGGTTTAGGGTTTAGGGTTTAGGGTTTAGGGTTTAGGGTTTAGGGTTTAGGGTTTAGGGTTTAGGGTTTAGGGCTGGTACAATCTGGGCTATCTGGGAGGTTCTCTAAACTCTAAATTAGGAGTCCCTTTCTGGGTCCTTTTTGCGGGTCCTTATTTCAAGGGTTACGTACTATGTAACTTACAGAACTACCCAAATGGAACAGGGCTGTATATGACGGAAATTGGTGAGAGTATATGTTGGCTCCTTGTAAATAATGGTGAGTGTACATTTTGAGCGTCCTCAGAAATAGTACTAAAATGAAATAACACACCCTGCGTCAACTCTTTATGGGGCTGTTTGCAGGGAAGGGTCGTTTTGACATGCACCCTTGTTTCTGAAGCTCTAAGGAAGATACTCTAGTGTGCTAGGACCCGGAGTAGGCCCGTATTCCCCATTTTTTTAGGGCTTGGGTCCTTATAACCCCCTTTAAAACAAAAAGGGCACCCTGTTTATACCGAGGTTATACTCCTTGGTCTAGTGGGAGACGGTCCCCAGAATCCATAGTCAAGATCAACACGCTTCGAGAGCTGACCATATCAGCCCTCTCGGTAGAGGTTTAGGGTTTAGGGTTAGAGAATAGGGTTTAGGGTTAGAGGCTTCTTCAGGCCCGCTTTCGCCTCTCCGTGAGGTCTACGCTTCCGGCGGCAACAGTGTCAATGCAGGTCGGGGGCGAGATTTCGGTTTAGGGCTTCGTGACCCCTAGACAACCTTAGAGCTCCCAAAGCCCGATACCCCTAAACCCGATAGACCCTAGACCCTAAACCCTACACCCTGAACCCTAAACCCTAAACCCTAAATCCAAAACCATAAACTGCAACCACTCTTGCGCTGCATCACGGCATGGGGGGATCTTTCGGCAACTTGATCTGCCTGAGCGGCAAGGAGAGGTGAGGGTAAAGTCTCCTGTTCAGGCCAACGTTCACGGCCCTGGTTTTTGTTTTATTGCAAAGCTCTGCGAACAAGCACCTTGGAATCAAACTGTTGGCGAGTTGAGGCCTGGGAGACTTGGGAACTCAGATTTGGCTTTGAATTCGAATTGACTTCTCGGCCGAAAGCCCGCAAAGGGCTGATTCTACCCCCGGCCCTGTGTCATGCGGGGGCGGAGCTATCAAGCTTGAAGCGTCCTGTTTCGGGCTGGCAATACTCTCAATCCATTCTGATGATGCTTCACAATGAGAGGTGAGGAACAGACAGAGAATCGGGGCAAACCAACTAAACCCTAAACCCTGAACCCTAAACCCTGAACCCTAAACCCTAAACCCTAAACCCTGAACCCTAAACCCTAAACCCTGAACCCAAAAAACCTAACCCTAACCACCGCTTCAGCCAAGCAGGTGCCCCTGGTTTCCAGCAGCAGCCGCAGCAGCCGCAGGTTCAGCTTGCCCTGTCGGGCCCTGATGCCCATGTGGAGGTTCATGGTGCTTATTTACCCAGTTATCACTGTACTTAGAACCCAATTATAACCATATTAGGGCACTTAAGGGTTCCAAACGTGCGTGATAGGTACAGTTATAACTGGTTACTACGTACCATGAGCCTCCAAGCAGTTGGTGCTTGATCCCAAACGCTGGGCCTTGTTTTTTGGTTGGCAGGTCTCTACTGAGTTAGAGTTTGACCCCTTGTCACCTATTGTTGAAGGTATCAAAAGAAGGCCCATGATTTGGGATCAACCTCTAAACCCTAAACCCTAAACCCTAAACCCTAAACCCTAAACCCTAAACCCTAAACCCTAAACCCTAAACCCCCTAAGTTCGTAGTCACCGATCCGACGCGTGGGCCTGGGCGTGTCGAGATGCGTGGGTAAGGATGCCGAAGTCCGACGCCCCGGCCTCAGAGGGTTCAAGCTTGGGATGTTCCCCCTTCTACTCGCCCTTACTAGGGGTTAGAGTACCCCCTGGTAGAATCCCAACCCTAAACCCTAAACCCTAAACCCTAAACCCTTAGTGTATGGGGGGCATCCCAAGTTGAGGCCTCCATTCTTCGGTCCGTTCTTCAGCAGCCAGTTGCCAGTCATAAGCCCCCAAGCCCTGAACCCGGAACTCTAAACCGGTGTTCGCTGTTTAGGGTCACCCTAGACTTCAGGCTTGGAATCCCCGTAGAGGCCCCATCAATGCCGTTTAGCAAGATTCTCCTAAACCCTAAACCCTCAACCCTAAACCCTAACCCCTAAACCCTAACCCTTAAACCCTAACCCCTAAACCCTAAACCCTAAACTCTAAGTACTTGCGTGGGCCGGCTGAGGCGCAAGTGTCCCGGACTTACTTTCGAGATTGCTTGCTGCCCGTTGACGTCAACAAAGTGCAGCCAGGTAGACCTATGCTACATGGGTAGTTCTCGAAATCAGGTTCCCTTTATATTCAGCATGCATTTAGTATATATATATGTATATATATATACGTACAGTACGGAACCCTTGAAAGAAGGACCCTCGAAAGCGACCCGAATTTGGAGAACTATCCAGTTTTTGAATCATCCGCGCGGGTAACAAAGTTCGTCCCTGAGGCTGCCAATAGAAGGTGCCCAGCGGTAGCTCCTGCCCTGTTACAGCTTGTTCTGTGGGGACCAAATGAAGCCCCAAGCTTGGGATCATATACCCCATACTACTGCGACCCCAATTCATGTATGTCAACCATGAACCCGAGAAAGACCCTAAACCCTAAACCCTTTTAGGGTTCATTCGGTCCCCTAAAAGGGTTGGACCAAAGATCATGGCTGTCTTTTCTCATCCCTTGGCCAGGGAGGCAGCCGAAATCCAAGCACGATTTTCCGAATGCTTCTTGGCAGGCAGTTGGCATACTGGTTCTTAGCAGGGAATGAGGGAATTAGGTACCCAACATCCCCCTACTACGGAAACCCTTCAAGGGATTCTACAGGTTACTTTATTCCCTCATTCCCTACTAAGAACTAGTAAGTTGAGTCATGTTGCTGTTCGAGCCCAGTCTTTGAAACTGAGTATGGAGACGTGTCGACGAGAAGGAGATGTGCCGAACTCATTGCAGAATGTGCGTCTGCTTGTCATTGCTGTGGCCATAAATCCGCTCCCTCGCACCCTAAACCCTAAACATTCGATAAGTCGCTCCTGAAGTTTTTGACAACCCCACCCGGGACGTCACACTTTGAAATGATTTTCATATTTTCCTGCGGGGTAAGCAGCCCGAAACCCTGGACCTCGGATACTGCCCACCCTTAATTGATCAAGGGACTGAAGGAGGGACCCTGAAAACGGACCATAGGAGTTATTTGGGGGGTAATTTAGGGGCTACTTAGGTATATAGGGACTGTAAGGTATATGTCGGGGTTACAAAGGGCAATAAGATGAAGGGTGCCTTCTAGGGGTCCCTTCTTCGACCCCGTAAATTGAATATACATGTGTGTCTATACCTTCAAAAGCCTTCACATATGACACTGTCATGCGGTGGGCAGAGGGCGGAGTATCCTAAATCCCAAACACCAAAGCACGAACCCAAACTCCCAAAACTTTAAGCCCCTAAACCCTAAATTCCCGACCCTAAATCCTAAATTTTTAATTCCCTAAACCCTAAGAAACCCTCAACCCTAAAATCCCTACAGTCCCTAAATCCTAAAACTTTAAACCCCTAAGCCCTAAACCCGAAAATCCCTACAAACCCTAAGCCAAACATTCCTCCATGGGAACCGAGACCGCACAATGTGGCGACTTGGGAGATCAACCAGCCCAGGCTGGGACTTCAGGGTCTCGAGTTTAGGGTTCAGGATTCAGCGTTTAGGGCCTTTAGGGTTTAGGGTTTGGGGCTTCGGGCTTGGGATGTAGGGTTCAGGGTTCAGGGTTTAGGGATTAAGGCCTTCAGGGACTTTGTTTGGGGTACTATGTGGACAGCGTATTGGCCCTCCCCCCTCCGCGCCCTCCTTCAAGCGTAAGGCCCCCAAGACCCAACACCTTCAACCCCGGCACCCCTGCACCCTCAGCCGCTAATCGAAAGAAAACGCTAACTTTAAGCCCCTAAACCCGAAACCCCTAAACCCCAAAACCCTTAGACCCCTGAACCCCTAAACCCTTAAAACCCTAAACCCTAAACCCCCCAGGCCAGAAGCGCACGTTATTGAGGTTCTTCGGGGATGCTCATCCCCTCCCGGGCCAGTGGCTCCGCATGATCTCCAAAAGCAGCCGCAAAATGTACTATACAAACGCCGGCGCCCGAGGGTTTGGGGATTGAGGGTTCATTGGGTTCATTGGGTTCATTGGGTTCATTGGGTTCATTGGGTTCATTGGGTTCATTGGGTTCATTGGGTTCATTGGGTTCATTGGGTTCATTGGGTTCATAGGGTTTGGGGTTTGGGGTTGGGGGTTGGGGGTTGGGGGTTGGGGTTTGGGGTTTGGGGTTTGGGGTTTGGGGTTTGGGGGGGGGGGGGGGGGGGTCAGAATAATGTGAGAAACAAGACCGCGCTAAATGCACAACCCTTTTGAACCAACATGAGAAGAACGTGATGTCAACATTTAGTGCGAGTTGTGTGATTTACGATCATGGTACAATGAGAATCATGAGAATAGCATGATTTACAGTGAACAAATTTCATAAGCACAACTTGAAACAGTGCAACACAGTTAGAAGCAATTGAGACAAAGTGAGAGTAGTGTGAGAAGTGAGAACAAAACAAGTAAGAAATGCTGAAAGGGGAGAACCCAGTGCAATCTTTGCAATCTTTTGTGAGTCTTTGACAGACTTCCTGTTCAACGGCATCCCACTTTGCAATTGTTCACATTTTCTCATGCCAATCACACCCTGACCCCTCCCCCCTCTGTCTAATTTGTTTCTCTCCAAAGTGCTTGTATGCAGTTTCGAACGATTCGGCTCCCCTTTGAATCTCACTCACATCCGACTTTCGCCTCGCCTTGTCTCATTCTGACCTACCGTTTCGCTTTATTCGGCTTTATTCGCACGTTCCGCTCTCCTCCAAGTCCCACACTATTCTCATGCACTCCCTGATTTTTCAGGGCTTCGATTTGATTCAGGCTGGGTAGCTTAACACAGTCAAGATGGGACGTCTTTTCGCAGACTACCATGGGAAGCCCCATCACTTTGAACGCTACCCGCCTGTCAATCTCCCGCGGCTTGTTACTCTGTGTGACTTCTGTGAGGTCAAAAGCATGGCGAGCACTTATGACGTGGCTCTGTGTTACAGCTATGCAGCGCCGTGAAAATCGACGAAGCCAGTCTAAGTGACGTGAGAGCTCTTCCATGCCAGCCGCCATGATGTGAAAGTACAGGTACTGCAGCCATTGAGCATCTTAGACGGCTGGTTGAATTCGGAGGCACAGCTAGACACGGGTTTCTGTATTTCTTAGTTGCTGGGAACGACAGTTGTTCAGGGTTTAGGGTTTGCTTTGGGTGTGTGTTTTGTGATTCGTGCTTCTCTGTCTTCATCTTGTAGTGAAAGCATGGCGGGTGTCGACAAGAATTCGAGCAACCAGCGCGCTGCGGCCCTCACCTTAGCGTCGATGCACATGATGCACTGGCCGTCGAATGGCAGGCTTTACACCTCAAGCCCTAAAGGGTTTAGGGTTTAGGGTTTAGGGTTTCGCCTAAATCCTAATAAGTCCTCAGCAGCTTCCGATCAAGGTGCACTTGTTCCCGCTGCAAGAGGCGCGTCTGCACCTCAAACACCTTGTCAAGCAGGCAGCATGATCGCAAAGAAATTGAGGGTCTCAGAGACATCAACAAATACGTACATATGCATATATGTACATAGAGTTTCACATACTGTCTTTCGTTATGTGATATTTTCTTTTTTTATGCATGTTATATACACACACGTCTACAGTCCATAGCCTAGACTTGCATGTCGCTTTACGACTTGCGCCGCAATCGTGTGAGGCGCGCAGCTACTAGAACGCAAAGGTCCGTTGACATTCAAACCCCAGTTTTGGGTTTTGGGTGTAGGGTGTAGGGATACTCTCAACCCCGCACCCATACTCCGCACCCACACTCTTTACCCTAGATCCTAAATCCTGGAGACCCAGAGCCACAAAAACCCTCCTAAAGCCTCCACTTCCCAACCACACTTACACCCTTGCGCCGTAACCCCCCCCTGTGCCCTAAACGGCCCCAACTTCCGCAAGTTTAGGGTTTAGGGTTTAGGGTTTAGGGTTTAGGGTTTAGGGTTTAGGGTTTAGGGTTTAGGGTTTAGGGTTTAGGGTTTTCCCTAAAGCCTTGACCTCCGAAAATACCTAACAAAAGCTACGGGCTGAGGCGGGGTGAAGAGCAGCGAGGTCCTGGATGCGTTGCACCAGGCACGAGCGTCGGCGAGTCATGATAATAAAGGTTCAGGGTCTTAGGGCCGTTTGGGGTTTAGGGTTTAGGGCTTGGCGATTTCGGGTTTTCTGGGGGCGTGCTTGGCCTGGATCCCCCCCCCCCCCCCCACCCGGAGTCCCTGACCGTAACCGTTAACCCTACAACCCTGAACCCTGCAACCCTAAACCCTGAACCCTAATTAAGCCCTAACCCTTAAACCCTGAACCCCAAACCCTAACCCTTAAACCCTGAACCCAAAATCTTGAACCCTACAACCTGAACCCTAAACCCTAAACCCTAAACCTCTCTATCATAATGAATTAAACCCTAATTCAAAAGTGGGCAACGGTGATTTTCGGCCTCAAAAGTGGGCAATGGTGATTTTCATTTTCCCCGAGTTTTTTCAAGGTTTTTCAAGGTTTTTCAGAGTTTTTCAATGTTTTTCAAGGTTTTTCAATGATTTTCAGGATATTTCAAGGTTTTTAACTCGATTCTGCCCCCGCGACCTTTTCACAGCCTAATTTTGGTCAAGGGGGGGTCGCATTTTTCAATTTTACAGGCAAAATAGTCTTCGGAGACCCCCCCTTGCCTCAAACTCCGACCCCGCCTTGAGAGGGAAAGAGGATCGGCCCAGGTCCCAGTTAAAAATGCGATTTTTTAGTACTGAAATCGTCGGTTCTGGGTGGGCTCTCGTTTTCCAGTGTTTTTCAAGGTTTTTCAATGTTTTTCAGGATATTTGCGGGAAGTATCCCTCAATTCTGATGAAGGACTGCCCCCCGCGACCTTTTCACAGCCTAGTTTTGGTCAAGGGGGGGTCGTATTTTTCAATTTTAAAGGCAAAATAGTCTTCGGAGACCCCCCCTTGCCTCAAACTCCGACCCCGCCTTGAGAGGGAAAGTAAACCGAGCCTTCACCGGTTTCAGAATTTCAAATTTTTTCACGGTTTTTCAAGGTTTTTCAGATTTTTTCAGTGTTTTTCAAGGTTTTTCAATGTTTCTCAGGATATTTCAGGGTTTTTAACCCTCAATTCTGATGAAGGACTGCCCCCAGCGCCCCCTTGCCTCAAACTCCGACCCCCCCTTGAGAGGGAAAGTTTGCCTCCAAAAACACCCCAAATGAGGGTGACCCCAGGATCGGCCCGGGTCCCAGTTAAAAATGCGATTTTTTGGTACTGAAATCGACGGTACTGGGTCGTCATTTGGATTTTTGACCAAAACCGAGCCTTCACCGACAGGGGCTTCTAAAACGTAGGGTTTAGGGCCCTAAGAGCATAAAGGGCCTATTGTGGGCCTTAGATTAAATTTCGGGTTTTGGGTCCGTTAAAAACAAAAATATTTTTCTAATGTTATGGGATCCAAAGGGTGGGTGGGTATATATTCGATACCAGAGTAGCGAGCTTGACCAGTGAATGCTTGAACTGGAGATGCTGAACCCTAAACCCTAAACCCTAAACCCTGAACCCTGAACCCTGAGCCCTGAACCCTGAACCCTGAACCCTAAACCCTAACGCAAAAACCCTGAACCCTAAACCCGTAGTTGCCTGGACCCTGGAGGCTCAGCGTCGACACCCCATTCGCGAAGTCTGGGCTTCGTCGCTGAGGCACTTGCTTGCTACAACTCTGGGTTTTAGGGTTGTAGGGTTTTAGGGTTTAGGCTTTCGGGTTTTAGTGTTTTAGTGTTTTAGGGTTTAGGGTTTTAGGGTTCAGGGTTTTAGGGTTTTAGGGTTTTAGGGTTTTAGGGTTCAGGGTTTTAGGGTTTTAGGGTATACGGCTTAGGGTTTAGGGTTTTAGGGTTTCAGGGCTTAGGGTTTAGGGTTTCAGGCTTGAGGGCTTGAGGGCTTCGGGTTTTCGAGTTTTGGGTTTGGGGTTTAGGGTTTTCGAGTTCCCAGTGTGCGGTGTAGGAATTTGGATTTAGGGCTGAGGGCTTCTGGTCTAATCGGTGCTCGGAGGCAAGCCCTCATCTGTGGAAATAAGGAATCGGTGCTCGAAGGCAAGCCCTTATCTGTAGAAATCTCCCCGGACCCGTTGTAGGATGTAGTGCCCATGACCCCAGAGGAGGGGTGCTGGACAAGTGGCTCGCACAGATTTTCGGTTTGGGGTTCAGGGTTTAGGGTTCAGGGCTTAGGGTTTAGGGTTTAGGGATTAGGGTTGATACGACTCCTTGAGAGGCTGCCCACGAAGCTCACCGAGTACATCAGCCAAGGGCTGAGTCCGTGTCAAAGTTCTTTGTGTCCTGCACTGCAGCACACGTCTCTCGCCTTACAACTTATGAACCCTAGGTTTAGGGTTCAGGGTTTAGAGTTTAGGGTTTAGGGTTTCCCTAAACCCTAAACCCCAAGCTATCCTGAACCCAAGCTCCGCCAAAAACTCTCAGAAGTCGCCACCTTTTCTGAGGCGCAGTTTGTCAGGAGTTTTCTACACCTGTCCGCCAAGAGGCCCAGTTCTCTGGCTGTTGGAAGTTACTACTATTTGCTTAAGAGCCAGTGCAATATTGGTATCGTTATCTCTTGCTGGTGGGCTCTGAAGCAAATCAGAGTTTCAAAAATTAGGGTTTGGGGATTGAGCTTTTTGGGGTTTCGGGTTTTCAGGGTTACGGTGTTTGGGCGTTAGTGTGTGTGTGCGGATGCTGCATTCGCCTTCCTTCGGCAGGCAGTTCTGCTACTGAAGCGGTACGTGAAGCAGGCGGGCGAAAGCTTGGCAAGATCTCGGGTCAAAAGCAGCGACATGCGGACTCGGCAGTCCGCAGCGGCTGGCGTGAAGCCCCAGAATCTGCAGGCCGGATGCTTGGTGGCTCCGTGGGTTTAGGGTTTAGGGTTCATATATACCCGGAAACCAAAACACCCTCAAGTTTCGGCAGTGGATCGAGTCTCTGCCGCAGCTCAAGCGCATTCAAGCGCCGACTTCAGGCCCGCATGCACCTTCCTGGCCCTCAAAGCTCTTCAGCCCTCGACTCGTACCTGCTATCCCGCTTAGGATTGTTGAGTTTGTAAGGGTTTTGGGTCTTTGAGGGCCTCATGGGATTAACATACAGTATCGTATCATCCCACGAACCCCAAGCCTCAGCGCCTACAGGAGAGTGCGCACAAAGTAGGGATCAGGGAGCCCTCACTTGAACGTCGAAAGAGGGAGCCACCCTTCATGAATTTCCTGACATGCCCTAAACCTCTGACTCTGACCCCTAAACCCGACGCTAAAAGTCCTTGAACCCTTGCCTGGCGCCGCCTCATGCCGCGCTGGCAACGCCTCTTAGCTAGGCGGGGAGCTCAGTTGGCGAGGGGCGTGGTCTAGCTCAGGGTATAGGATGGTTTAGGTTTCAGGGTTCAGGGTTCAGGGTTCAGGGTTCAGGGTTTAGGGTTTAGGGTTTAGGGTTTAGGTTTCAGGGTTTGCTTTCGGGTTCTTTGCCAAGGTGGGTGGAGCAGGGATGATTGCCCGTCCATGGTGCACATGACGGAGGTCGGCGGCAAGCAGTTCTGATCTATGGCATGCTGGCTGAACTCTCGCAACGGCCTGCTAAACCACAAGTCCCAACACCTAAGCCCCAGACTCTCAATCCCAACCCCCTAACCTTCAACCCCTAAAGCCCGACACCCCGAACCCGCAGACCCTAAGCCCTAAACCCTAAACCCTAAACCCTAAACCCTAAACCCTAAACCCTAAACCCTAAACCTTAACCCCTATAAACCCTAAATCCTATTGGCAAAAACAAGACAGGCTCCTGAGTTGCTCCCCTGGAAAGGCCTGGCTGTGGGCCCTCTTCATCCTACTTCACCTTGCAGGAGGCAGTGTAGGGTCTAGGGTTTGGGGTTTAGGCTTTATGGTTGGGGTTTGGTGTTTATTGTAGTGCCAGAAGCGCGCAAGCCGAACCAGCCTCGTAGGAGCCGAAACGCCAGTGCCCAGAAAGACCGACAAAAAGGGGCTCCCGTGTTACTCTGATATCACGGAGTCTTCTATGCTTGGTGACCATGAATTGCAACATCACACCAGTAAGCAGTTTTCTCCGATACGTATGTTGCATAGAAGTTCGGTGCAAAGAAAACTGTCAGCTGCGTACTATGACCGTGGGCTCCCCAAAGAGGCCATTATTTAGAGAAATGGCTTTGCAAAACCTTAAAGCCCTAAAGCTCTCAAGCCCTAGACCCTGAAGCCTCAAAGCCCTAAGTTCCTGAAGCCCCTAACCTCCTAAACCCTATAGACAACGACCCACGCCTGGGTTCTGCTTCGCAGCCCTGAACCCATGCCTTGGAAGGCTCCCACTCAGCCGGTGCAGACTGTGCGGGAGCCTCACCCCACGTGAGCCATCCCGTACAGACTGTGAAGAAGCATCCTTTGTTTGGGTTTTAGGGTTTGCCCTAAACCCCTACACGGCCAAACGATCCCGAATTAAGACACAGCCAAAAGCACTGAAAACCGAATAGCCATCACCGAGAAACAAGATATACAAGTCGAAAGAATGCTCAAAGCGCCCCTGAAAGCCCTGCAACACCTACCGAACATCTCTAAAAGCACCCGGGATGCTCCTCGATAGTAAAGTAGCACCCGACATAGCGCTTAGCATTTTTAGGGTTGCTAAGGGCTTCTAAGTTTTTTTGGGGGTGCCTCGGGGCTCAACTTCCCTCCCCTTAGTAAAATGCCCACCCCGCAAGCACTCGGTAAAGCAGGTTTTTAGAGTTTGGGGAGGTTCAGAATATCCTAAACCCTAAACCCTAAACCCTAAACCCTAAACCCTAAACCCTAAACCCTAAACCCTAAACCCTAAACCCTAAACCCTAAACCCTAAACCCATGCTTCAGTGTACAGGAACGGACACATCGACCACACCCAGAAGCGCTGAGGTTTCACTCGTAAAGCGCCGAGGCTCAGAGAATTCGGAGCTTTAAACATCTCAGAAATCCTTAAACCCCTATATTAAGGGTTTAGGACTTATAAGCCCTAAACCCTTAAGCCCTAAACCCTCAAATCCTTTCCCCCCCCCCCAAAAAAAAAAAAACTGTTTCCTGTAAGATTGGCAGAGGTTTGGCAGTCGACCCGGCCGTGGCGACCGGAAGATGGGAGTTGCACCCGGCTGCAGGCAAAGCAGGTGCTGCCGGGAGCGCAGGGTTTTTTCGGGTTTAGGGCCAGTTCAGGGTTTATTTCGGCTTTATTTAGGCTTTACTTAGGGTTTGTTTAGGGTTTGTTTAGGGTTTAGGAATTAAGCTCAGGAGAGCTCGGAGTTTTTATCCAAACCCCAAAGCCCTAAACCCTAACGTCCTCCTCCCTCTTGACAAGCCTAAAGGCACCCGAAAACCCAGCAGCCCCAAGCCATAAACCCTAAACCCGAAACCTCAACCCTAAAAGCCCTGCCGGTAGAGCCCTCAACACGCCACCTTAGCCGCCTCCTCCGCCCTAGAACCCGCAACACAAAAAGGAAACCCCAAAACCCTGAACCCCATGTGTACCCCCCGCGCCCTCCACCCAAAACCCGGGTTTAGGGTTTAGGGTTTAGGGTTTAGGGTTTAGGGTTTTAGGTTTCTTCTTCTTTGCGTGCCGAGTTCCATATAGCTGTGCAACAAAACGGACCCTCTGAAGCAGGCGGCGGAGGTGGAACCCGGGGAGCTTGTGGACGCTTTGGCCTCGCTCACGCAGCTGAAGGAGCTCCACCTGCCAGGGGCTCGGTTTAGGGTTTAGGGTTTAGGGTTTAGGGTTTCTGTGGAAGCGTAGTACCTGCACATGTCTGGTTGTAGCTCGTTGTTTTCCTGTTGCTCCTAGGCCCAAGCACAGAATGCCTTGAGCATAACACATTTTTATGTATATACTGTAGTGCCGTCGCCTCACTGTAGCGCATAGCATAGCAATCCTTCAAGACTTTGCTGTTCGTTTTGTTGCCCGCTTGTGTAAAAGAGTTACTCCGCCCGTTGTGTGAGCCATGTCTGCTGGGGAAAGGGATGGGACTGGGGAATTAGCTACTCCACTAGTGCCTCCTTCGCAGCCTGCTGGTTCACACCAGCAGGTTATGAGCCCAACGCAGGGCTACGGCACCGTGACGCCGCAATCATCCCAACCTCCCGGGAGGGATGGTTTGCAAGAGCATATGCATTCCGCAATACCTGATGCACCCACCGCCGGCATTGAGGGTGGCTTGGGTTTTGTGGAAATGGCTGCGGGAAGGGCGCGTGCTAGTATAGACCCAGCAGAAGGCGTGCAGCATGCGTCGACCACCACTGAGGGTGGGATATTGCACGGTATGCCCCGAAGCATGCCACAAGCAGTGCAACCTCCGGACGGAAGTCCAGGACCAGAGGCCAACACCATCCTGCGTCAGGACACCTTGGGTGACGACCGTCAGGTTACAGACCAAGGTGGTGACAGGGGTTTGGGGGGCATAAGGTCAACTGGTGAGACCGCTGGAGTTGAGGGGTTCATGACCCCACGTTCACAGGGTTTGCCCGCTATCTCCGAAATGGTTGAAGGCATTCCTGGTGTTTTCATGTCTCGTGTTTCTGAGATTTTCCGTGTGGCAAGGACTGAGGTGCAGGCCCAGCCACCACCACACCACACACGTGCAAGCCCTGGAGCAGTGTCTAGGGTGAGGGCTTTGGGAGATGGGAGTGTTGGGTCAAGTGCTTCGCCGCCGCAGCCGGACTCAATCGGCACACCCACCACTTTTGGCCCCGGGCCCGGGAGGGAATCCCCATTACTCAATGCCGAGTTGCTGCAACGCATGCAAGCGCTTGAGCAAAGGGCCCCACTCCTTTACCCTAGATCTGCAGCCCCTGAACGCCCCTCGAGCCGTACCGAGTCGTCATCGCTCCCTCAAGAGGCAATTCAAGCAGAGGTTGCCAGGCAGCTTGCAGGTTTTGAGGCTAGAGCCCAGGCGCAGGAGATGGAGAATCAGAGGTTGAGGCAGCTACTTGAGAGGAGTGAGCAGAGAGAGGAGTGAGCAGAGAGAGAGGTCCATGCGGGAAGTAGTGTCAACGCAAGCACAGACCCCAAGTGGCCCACCTCTAATCCCTAATGCCGCTCATGCGCCTGTTGAGGCCCCTCTGCCAGCACCATCTCTTGCCCATCAGGTGCATGATGCCACCTTTCAGGTGTTGGATGCTGTGAGGACGCCTGCATCTGTATCAGGGTTTTGGTCCAATTTGTGGTCGGGTTTGCAGGGTTCGCAAAGGTTGCCCAGCAATGCAACCCCACCCGGAAGGGCTGGGCATGTGCGTGAGCCCATGGCTCAATCTGCCCAGGTTGCACGGGTGCCAGGTACTGTTCAGGATGCACAGGTGCCAGGTACTCACAGGGCCTCTTCTGGTCCAGACCGCCCAGACCCCACTTTCCAGCCCGAAACCCTAGGTCTGGGGCAGATGAGGGCTGAAGGGGCCAATTCCGGCACAAGTCCACATTCTCGGCCCGAGAACACGGGTTTGTGGCAGATTCCAGCAAACCCTCAGGTTTCAGGCGGTTTTGCCAGCGCTGCAGGCCAAACGCCGCCCGGGAGGGTCGGGCAGGTGGCAGACACTCAAGGTCCTCAGGTTTCAGCCGCCGCTGCAGCTCCAGGTGAGCAGCCTGCCACGCGTGAGGTGCCAAGTTCAGTTGTGGACGCATTGGTTTTAGGGGTGCAGCAGCTGCAAAGCTTGCAAGCTCAGCAGCTCAAGGTCAAAGGTGACGACGCCCCTGAAGCAGTGAAACCAGGCATCACAACGCTGCCCAAACTTGTTGCCCCTAATCCGTCAGGTGGTTCTTTGGAGTTCCAGGATTGGCTTGAGTTGGTCAGCGGATTGATGACAGACTTGTCGGATTCGTCG